AGGCATAAAGTAAATGAGTATAAATAAATGACGGTGTCCACTCCAAATGGCTCCGGACAGAAGTGATGTGAAGTTGGCTGAATTGACTGAATTGGTGTCAGTGCATCTCCCTTTTCATCGGAATCGAAAGAGATCGCTTTGAAAACAACGTCTGTATGAATGTTCCAGAAAGCCAATCGTCAGCTGGTCAAGAGGAATCGGCCGTCGTCTTCTGGTGGAGCCGAACTTGGAATCTCTTCACTCAACACTTCCACTCGAAATGGAAGTAAGCTCAACAATTATGAAACAAGAGATTCCTCGAAACCCAATTTTTTCTTGCAGTTATTTATACTTTTAGATGCATTTGGCCATCAAAGCTATTCTCTCGCATATGGTTAATATTTTTATATGCTAAGAAAAATTGGGTTTCGAGAAATATCTTGTTTCTTTATTGTTGAGCTTACTTCCATTTCGAGTGAAAATGTTGCGTGAAGAGATTCGAAGGTTGGTCATCATCAGAGCGAGGTATCATCTTCTCAACAAAATTCAAGCAAACGAGTTTTCTTGACTCGTTTTCTTGATTTTTATTGTGACGATGATACCTCGCTCTGATGATGACCAACCTTCGAATCTCTTCACGCAACATTTTCACTCGAAATGGAAGTAAGCTCAACAATTATGAAACATGAGACTCCTCGAAAGCCAACTTTTCTTGGACAATTTGCTGTTGAGCTGCTCGACAGGACAATAAGGCTGGAGCGCAGTTGGCCGCGGGACTGAGTCCGAGTGACCTGTACGTCAGAAAAGGTGTGCCTGTTGCGAAGCCCAGTGACGGCTTGTCGGGGCTGTTGCTGTGCTCTTGAGGAAGACAGTCGACTGAGCGACTTCGGTGGGAGTTGGCGCGAGGCGAGGAGTGAGTGGAAGAAGCGGAGTCAAGCCCCGGTGCTGGCCGAGGTCGTCGAGTCGAGGAGAGCTGCTGTCGTCAAGGCCTGGCACGTAGAATGGGACGGTTTCGACATGGAGACAATGTGGTCGCCTGTCTTCAGGACGAGGAGATCATTAGTTTAAGGGCTTCCAGATGACTCGCTGATCGGAGGAAAAGAGAATGAACATGAAAGCTGTGGAGGACAAAAGTGAAAGACAAACCAAATGACGGGTTGAGTTAAGGTCTCTCATCAGACTATGAAGATACCGATTCTATGGTGAATTTGGCTCGAGACTAACAGCCCACCTTGAAGAAGCTGGATAGATCCAATTTCGTTTGAAGTGATGCAGGACTGGTAGAAGAAGAATTTTCCCACAATCATATGAGTTGAGCTGACGTTTCCATTCAATTTCACATAGCCTTGATTTCCCAAAAGTTGTTCTCATTCAGGCGGGATTTTTGATGAAGCAAACATATATCTGCTATAACAATCCACTAATATACTTTATTTTTCGAATTAAGTATTGTTCTCGTTACTACTAGTAAATCAGTAGTATGAGAAGTATTCACCAAATTTCGATTAAGATGATGAAGGACTGGTAGAAGAAGAATTTTCCCACAATCATATGAGTAGAGCAGTCCACCCTGGATGAGAACAACTTTTGGCCAGGAAACGTCAACTCTACTCAACCGATTCTACCAGTCCTTCATCACCTTAAACGAAATTAGGTGAATACATCTCATACTACTGATTTACTGGTAGACACGAAAAACAATACTTAATTCGAAAAATATGTGCAATTGAATGGAAACGTTAGCTCAACTCAACCGATTGTGGGAAAATTCTTCTTCTTCCAATCCTTCATCACCTTAAACGAAATTGTGTGAATACATCTCATACTACTGATTTACTGGTAGCCACGAAAATAATACTTAATTCGGAAAATGAGTATTTCTTCAACCTCGTGATTAGGCCCCACGCTAGCAATGGATTCCCGCGGCCTTACAACCCAAAAGGTATTCTCGTCATTCTGTAAGGCAAGACGAGGCAGAATTCTGTACAAGCCTGAGGACAACAGCTCTGACGGTAGAAGGTGCAACTGCCAGTCCTTCATCACCCAAAACGAAATGGGCCGAGTACAGCTCAAGTATATGATCTACAAACAATGACGACAATGATTGCTCCAAAGTATCACACACATCAGATGAGTGTGAGTTGTGGCGGAATTTCTTCTTTCCGTCTACCGCGTCACGTGTACATTTGTGAGGGGGGGGGAAGACATATAAAATAGTCATCTCGGATTGGATAGCTTTTCTGGGGGCGAATATGTGTGACATTCAATTGCAATCTAAGGCATAGTCATATGATTTTGGGAAATGTAGACTCTCAGATGGCAAATAATCTCAATAAACTAATACTGACTTTATTCTTCTTAGTCAAGCCTAACTTGTTTTTTCTCGAATCCACCTATTCCCTAATCCCCGTCAGAGCAAAGGAAGAAATGTCGCCAGAACTCAAGCTCATCTGATGTGTTGGGTACTTTGCAGCGATCAGTTGGTTTAGGACCTTGCGTCTTGCCCTAAATCATATATTTGCTATTTATGCAGCTTATTTCATTTTACGTTATGAAGGACAGTCAGTTGGATTTGCCCATTTTTCAATGTCAACGTGAGTTCTACTCACCAGATCCTGGCTGCCAAGCCTCGAACACTTCAAAAGAACAAGACTGAATACAGCTCCTCTTTCTGACAAGCTGAAAACCTATTCATTTAAACGATCTTGGTTAAATTATGTAGAATCACTTAATTAAATTCGTGTTGGAGCACATTTCAGCTCGTCTGAAGTGGCCAGTGGAAGGGGCACATTTAGAGTTGGCAGGAGCACAGGCCAGAAACGGGAGACGAGATTGAATGGGTTCAAACTTGTCTTTTTGCCGTAAAGAAGATAAATAAAAATTATTTTTATAGAAGTTTTTTGACCTTGTTTCCGCAACTTGGTCATGTTGGTAGGACGACTTAGAGGAACCATTATGACCAAGTTGCGAAAAAAGGTCAAACAACTTGTATACAACGAAAGGAGACTGCGACCACACAGTCTTCATACCTTGGAAA